TATGCAGCTGCACTAGGGCATTGGCGAAAATATTCCCCATTTTTAAAAATTTAGTGGGACAACTCTAAAAATACTCCCCAGAGCTTCTGCCAAAGGAATCCTCCCCCGATACAAATTGCAGCCCTGTGCAAAGCATGGTGGAGTTGCAGCCGACTTTGCACAGGTGCATACACACATACACAAGTTGCCAACGGCCACAGCTTGCAGTGCCAGTGTCAGTGGATTCTATCGTGCATTCTGTACAGCTAACATGTTCCCCCATATTATGAGATCATGTGATTCTTTCCCTTTTTTCACAGTGGCCAATAACACAGGAGAGAATCCCCCAGTGCTTGGCAATATGGAAAACAGGGTCCTTGTTAGTTTTAAAAAAACACAGTCTGGACAGCTTCAATATTGGCTCCCCCTCCCCCCCTTGCCTGCATTCCTTTCTGTTCCCTTTAATTCAATGAACTAATGCTAAAATGCATGGCTAAAACCTGAACCACAAAGATTTAAATGGAAGGTGCTTGCTGGATGCTACTGCACAGCTGCAATAGGGCAATTGCATAATATTTTTTTTAAAAAAAAAACCTTTGGATGCCACCCCCAACATGTCACAAGTGACGTTTCACCCAAAAGTGTGTTTTAAAAATTGTAGCTGCAGAATAAATACACCGGAAGAAAAAGAATGGTACGTAAGGCGGGCACAGAATCCAAAATCAAGATTAAAGGCTTACTGCTCTGAAAATCTGCAGTAAAATGTATGTGCGTAATGGGCCTGTTGAGTCATGAGATTACTGCTAGTTTCAGTATTGTCCCATTTCAGTGTGTGTGCTTGGATTGGATCCTCCTTTGAGTGTCCTTGGTTTCTGGAGGGCAGGTGATACTGATAAGAAGCGGGCTTCTTCTCTGGCTGCCCCTTCTCTGTTGAACTCCCTGCCTGAGGAAGCCGGTCTAGCTGCCTTTCTCCTGGCTGTCAGGGACTGATAAAAAGGCATTCCTTTTCTACAAAAACTTTCAGTTGGTAAATTAGCTTCTGATTTCTGTTTCTCAAAATCTGGATGCTGTCTCTTGATGTTTTTGTAGCTGGTTGGAGGTTTTAACTGCATGTTTAGTTTTAATGGTTTGCTTACTTGTATTTTATTATTTTATGTAAGCTCCCTTGAGGAGCCTGCTGAATTAAAGGGCAGGGTAGAAATTAGATAAGTAATAAAACCACTTAATGCAGTGTTTCCCCCCCTCCTTTTTCTTTGGGAATGCAGAGCATGCTGAAATGACCAGTTGACTCGGTTTTGAATTAGATGTCTTTTTAATTAGATATTTTTAGCCTGTTTTCCTCAGAGTATTTTAGGACTGTCTCTCTTTATCCACACGGCAAGCCTGTGGGGTAGGTCAGGCAGAAAGGTAGTAATGGACCTAAGGTCTGCCACTTTCATTGAACGGGCATTCGAACCCAGATCTCCTCAATCATATGCTAACCACTAAACAAAAGCCCACATTTGTATACACTGCTGAGGGCTCCGGCTGTATGTTGTATCCATTGACTGTCATAGCCTCACTGTCCACAGAATTAAAGCTCAGACGTAATAGAAAAGACATAATCCCTCTATAGCTCAAAGTCAGTATCCAAAATGCCCTTCACATAGGATTGCCAACCTCCAGGTGGGGCCTGGAGGTGTCTCCTAGGATTACTGTTGGCCTCCAGGCAGCAGAGATTAGTTCCCTTGAAGGAAACAGCAGTTGCAGATAGGGGAACTCTATAGCATAAACATCTCCACTGATCTTTTTCTCCAAACTTTCCACTCTTCAGGCACCAACCCCAAATCTCCAGAAATTTCCCAGACCAAAGTTGACAACCAAAACAAAGACAACTAGGGAAACAGAATATGTAACTGAGACTATAAAGAGGAAGTTACTGTGTATGTTCCATAATCACTCATTTATACAAAGAACATAAACCATTGCTAATTATATAAAAATGTGTATTCTTGAAGTCTTATAATGTGAATTCTATTAGCCAAATTCTCAAATATACATGAACAATATTTGTTATATTATTTTCAGAATTTACAAGGAAATAACACTGCAGACATCTGTGTAGAGGCACTGGGTCCGAAATTTATAATTTACAGTGTGAGGTCATTTACAAGATTTCCAAAGTCCTCATCCACAATATCTATAATAATGAGTTCAACTTGCCAGGGAACTCAATTATTTGCTGGTAAACAAACTCTTTGAACAATACTGCCGGTAAACAAACTCTTAGACCAAAACTGAGGAGAATCCCAGGTAAACTTCTCATTTGCGGCAAATCTTCATCAGAGTTGTTTTGCTTGAAGCAAGTATCAATCGTGGATAATATTTCCCAAAGCTGGAGTCAGTGTGTATTCCAGTTGATCCCAAACATTTATAAGAACGAAGGTCGTCCTTCCCTTTGAAATGGTCTGCAAAAGGTTTTTAAAAGGCCTGTTCATTGAAAGGCATGGGAGGAAATTATTATTCGTGCCTTCCACACACTGCCGTAGATGGTACCTGCGGAGCATAACTCAATTTCCCCCTGACTTTTGCTCCCTCCGGTTCAGCTTAGCGTCTCATTGACTGGCGCAAAGGATGTTTGTGTGCTTGCAGGGGACCCCTTTCCTCTGCTACTGCCCACGCCATTCTGTGCTGTGTTGGGTAAACAGAGGCCTCTGGTCTCTGGGGCTGTTCCTTTGGCAGCGCTCACCCTTGCTAAACTCCATGTTTCGCAAGTGTCATTTAAGAACAACACCAGGGGCCCGGAGTCTTTCTGCTGCTGGCAGGAGGCCTTTGAAATCAGCGGGACTCTGCCAGCAGTTAATTTGCTTCTTTGTTATTTTCTCTCCCTGAGCAGGGGTAGTTTTTCTTCTTCTTCTTCTTCTTTTCACTGTTATGTATATTTATTTTATTTTATGTTTGCTGTTGCTTCACACCAGTAGTACACTCATGTACACATGATGTGTGTGCATGCAGGTAGACTTATGACATGAAACTGCCAAATAGGAAATATCCTGGGAATTTTTGGCATTAACTCACAAATTAATAGAGGCATATTCTCAGACTGCCTGCAGGAATGGGTCCTGGCTCAGTTGTAGAGCATGTGCTGAGCATAGAGAAGAATGTAGGCCCAATCTCCAGCTGGAAAGAGGATGTCAGAGAGTAGGAATATAATGGAAGAGACCTGCCTGAGACTTGGGAGTGCTGCTGCCAGTGAAAGCAGAAAATGTTGAGCTAGGCAGGCTAGTGCTCTGACTCAGTGTTAGGTGGCTTCATCATAAGAAGAGGCCATAGCTAGGGTGCCAAGTTTGGATTGAGAAATTCCTGGAAATTTGGGGGGTGGAGGGACTGGAAAATTGTGGGGTTTGGGAAGGTGAGGGACTTCAGTGGAGTATAATGCCACAGAGCCCATCCTCCAAAGCGGCTGTCCTCCAGGGAAACTCATCTCTGCAGACTGGAGAGCAGTTGAAGTCCTGAGAGAACTCTAGCCATAGCTTAGCAGCAGTGCCCATGCCTTGTGTGCAGAAGGTCCCAGCTTCAATTCCTGGAATCTCCAGTTAAAGGGTGTCGTGTCGAGTAGCTGACCTGAGAAAGACTTCTGCTTGACTTTTTGTAGAGCTGCTGCCAGCCAGAGTAGCTAATACTAGGCTACACTGACCAGTGATTTGGTGCAGCTTTGTATGTATGCATTAATAAAAGTACCAATCTGTCCCGCTGAATAGTTATCTACTCAGTCACATCTATTTATCATGTTTTAAGTCACTGTACTTAAAAGGATCTCAGGGCAATGCATTCGGTTTATCTTACTATAACCCTGAGGGGTAGGCCAGGCTGAGAGGTTGTGACTTACCCATGGCCTCCTAGTTAGTTTAATGGCTGAAGAGCGAGTTAATCCAGGAGTTCCCACATCAGGTCTGGCTCTCGCATCAGAGGGTAGCATCTTCCCATGAAAGACTGATGCTGGGAAGGCACTATAGCCACTGAGAGCAGCTTACTGTGCTGATGTTCTTACTGTCATTGGTGGGACTGTGCTTGGTGACCTGAAGGTGCTTTTCATGCACCACAGATTATATTTCATTACCAGCTTGCTTCAGTGAGGCATGGTCCAAAGGCACATTATGCAGCAACCTTGCTGAAGCTAAGCAGGTTCAAATCTGGCCAATGTCTGGATTGACGACTACTTGGGAACTTCATACGTGATCTTGAGTTCCACAGAAGAAAGGTGGAATATAAATTAGAGAAAATAATCGTCATTGTGTTCGTTATTATTTTGTTGCATCGATGTTTTATTCTTTGATGAGAGGAAGGGAGATTTCTTCCTGTCTGTTGGCCAAAAGATTGTTGCTGGTCTGACTCCACAGCAGCAGATGAGTTGCATTGGGAGTTGGACAGTGCACTTTCCCATGGTGCTCCCAATGATTCTGCCAGCAGTTAATTTGCTTCTTTGTTATCTTCTCTCCCTGAGCAGAGGTGTTATTTTGGATGCTACAGACTTTCTGATGGCATCCCAAGCCTAGGAGTGACTCAGAAGGAAAGCTGAGCGATTTGCATGTTTTGAGGACAAATATCTTGATTTCAGCAAGTCCAGTTCCAAAGTGAACTCAATGAGAGAGTCCCTTTCTAGTGTACCATGCGTATGAATGCACTGTAGAGTTGCAGACGAACTTGTGAAATCTGTGACTCCAAAACAGGCTCGGTTACATATGTTAGCAATTCTCCATCTCCGTCTCCTTCCTTGCCCTCTGCCAACCCAGTCCTTGACAGAAAGGGTGGGGGGAGAAATTATGAAAACCAGACTTCATGGAAGCAGTAATATATTATGCCAAGTGAGAAAATCCATGCAAACTGTTCTAATTTGCATAATTTATTCTTCAGGCAAGAGCTTGGGTTTTCTGAAGGCATTGTTCCCATTTGCTCATTAGGTCAAAGAACACACTGCCATTGCTCATTACAGGAGAGAAATGGCGTTTGTTTCCATTTTGCTTTTATTTTTTTCCCTGCAGATGAACCAAGCAGGTGTTACTTCCACGATGGTGACGGGGTGTGCGAAGAGTTTGAACAAATGACGAGCATTATCGACTGTGGGGTCTATACCCCCAAAGGTTTTCTGGACCAGTGGGCTTCAAACGTGTCTGTCTCACACCATGATGAGCGATGCCCAGGCTGGGTGGTCATAGGGCAGCCAGCAGCAAACCAGGTAAGAAAGGTTGGAAGGCCCTTGCCTTGATCATATTGTGAAGCCATGCTCCGAATTCATTCCCCAAGCTGGATGCCTACTCTCTTTGTGTATGTATTCCTTTCCTCAAGACCTGTACCGTATCTTTGATTGCAAAAGAGACTTCTGACCCACAGCCTGTCCCACCCTAGTCTCCCTCTCTAGTGTTTACAGGTGAGATGCCAGTATTTTACCTAGAATGTGAAAATTAACTCAGTATTGCACAAATCAGCATGATACTAGTCCCTCTAAAAGGACATACTCCACTGGGATAGCTGTTTAAGTCTGTTGTAGAAAAAACAAAACGAAAACCCACAAAAATGTATGCTCCAATAGATGTTTTAGCCTTTAAGGTGCCATGGGAATTTCCAAAGAACCATAGAAAAAGCCCTGTTGGGTAGATTAAAGGTTCATCTAGTCCAGCATCCTGCTTCCAACATACTATGAAGTCATGCACCCAACCCGTCCTCCAAGCTGGATGCCTACTTTTCTTTGTATGTGTGCCTTCCAATATTAGCCAGCTGCATGCCTCCAGGAAGCTCACAAGCAGGGTATAAAGCAAAAGACACCCCACCTCCACCAGTGTTCCCTGTAAGCTGAGTTAGTGTGAGCTAGCTCACAGTTCTTTAGCCTCCAGCTCACACAATAGCTCGGGGAGAATGGTTCCAGCGCAAACTAATTTATGCAGTAGCCAAATCGCTTGCTCACAGCTTTAATCCCAGTAGCTCACAAAGTAGAATTTTTGCTCACAAGACTCCACAGCTTAGAGGGAGCACCTCTGCCTCCTGTCTCTGAGCATCTGGTTGCCAGAGGTAGACTGCCTCTGAACATTCAGCTCTCATAGCTAGTAACAGCTGATGTGCCCACCTAAGCAAGCATATGTGGACCATCTGGCTGGATCAGACGAAAGGTCCTGTTTCTAGTACTTGAACCATTAGGTGCCTTCAGGAAGCAGAAAGATCTTGAAGGCAACCACAGTTACCCACATTTTGTAGTTAACAGTGTGATACTCAGTGCCTGTGAATAGAGAGATTCCTTTTAGCTTAATTAATTCTTCTGTAGCTGATGTCCAAAAGTATACTGCTACTGCAACTGGAAGTTTCATTTAACCTCACCATTGGTTTGTTTACTTTGGATTGGGAGGAGGAGAATGTTCCCTTTCCACAAAACGACATGGGGATAGGTAGGTGCCTGTGTGGGCATTTGCAATTTCAGGCATGTATGTATGCATCACTTTAGGTGGCTGGTGGATATGAACTATATGCACAGGTATTTCTCTGATGAAAATATCTATGAGATATGCAGAGAAATGCTAAGCCTTTCTTTTAGCCCCACAGAATTTTGCTTTGAACACAAGGAAACAAGATCTTTAAAAAATCCACCACTGTCACTAACAAAAAATGGGCCGGAGAGATCTGAGTTTAAATTTGAATGCCAAGAGAATATTCTTCTTCTTGGTTAAAGATACAAAGCAACATAATTGTCCTACAGATATATATCCCTAACTGTTCCAAATGTACCTTGACAACTGCAGCATATAAAATGGTAGGCTATGGCCCCGTTCATACGAGGCAGTTTGGGCCGGGAGCGGGCCGGATTGGAGGCGCATCAGACGGGCGCGATCCTACGCCAACATCTGCCTGGCGTCGCGCTCCCGCCTCCAACCCGGCCCTTCCCCCGATGAAGCGCGTCAAAGATGAACCACCTACCTTCGGTGGTTCATCCGGTTGACCCGCTTCATCCTGGCCGTGGGATCGGCGGCGCGTCTTGCCGCCGTCGCATCCCCGGCCCCCTGCTGTACTGCGCATGCTCGAGCATGTGCAGTACGGCAGCCTCCCCCTCCGACCTGTGTCTTCCTCCCCGGCATCTGATCGTGCCGGGAGCAACGGAGCGCGGCAACCGGGATCCGTGGGATCCCGCCAGGGCGTTTCTTTTTTGGCGCGACTTTTAAAAGCCGCGCTTCGCCCCGTCTTTTCCCTGCCGTGTGGCAGGGGCCTATGTACCATGTGGTGCATACATACATGCTAGATGCAAGATGCACCCATCCTCCACTTAGAGATGTAGCTTCAAGAGACTCTGAGGTGGGAACTGAACCCTGAGGAATGAGAACCCTACCAAGTTGCACTAACAAAAGTTTATATTCCCAAAAAGGAAAAATAGGGATAAAATCAAGACAATGATTGATCAGAGATGTGGAACAGAAAATAGGAACTGTTCTTTAGGAAATAGAGGCATTTGGAGTATATGATGTGTCTTAATGAATTCAGCTTGCATTCTGCAAGTGTAGGTACATGTTCTTGGCTGCCCCAGGACACCTCCCCCCCCCCCCCCCCCCCCCCCCAACCGTGTTGAAGGGCCAATGGAACTCCTGGGAGCCAACATTCCAACCCTTGTGTGCTTTGGCTTGCTCGGTGCTGGTGTGCTGGTTTCTAAGAAACCTAGTTATGAGGTACTAAACTCATAAACTATTACAAGGGTAAATGTTGCAAAGTTTCAGCTGTCCAGATAATGTGTGAGCACCTTCATGATTTTAAGGTACAGTTTGAGCCCATAGAAGACAAACATGCTACCCCCTGAAGGAGTTTATTCTCCTTGGAGCAAATTAATCCTCTGTATCCTTCTCAAGCAGTCAGTAGGATTTTAACCATAGCTCATATTAATATATGTATTAAAGCAGGTAGTAGAAAGTGGCAAAAGAGTTTGTTTGAGTGGTTTATGAATGTTGTCCAGTTTCAAGAGACAGATGTTTACATTGTCAAGGTGTTCTAATAAGCTGGGGTGCCTTGGATTACACATGAACAGAATTTCAAATATCAAGCTTCTTGGGAAGGATCCCAAGTTCTTTATAGCTCTGTGAATGAATGATACACAAGTGTTTGTCTGTTGGTCTCTCTGTTATGTATTTTGCCTGTTCCATAATTTCTCCAACACCTTTCTGCTACTGTATTTAAAGCCACTTACAATTCAGAATAATTGCCTATAATATATTATAAATGTCACAAAGGGGAAAGAAATTAAAGGACAGGACAGTCAGAGAAGAAGAAAACAAGTAAACTCAGATACCAACTTTTAAAGGGCCAAACTACATGGGATTCTAAGAAATCCATCACTGGCCTATTACATATGGGTGTTTCCCCACACTTTCACCATGCATGTCTGTGGGGTTTTCTTTGTTGTTCTGCATTGTTTTTCCTCCTTTCAGAAGAAGAAGAGGAGAAGATTGGATTTATATCCCGCCCTTCACTACCCAAAGGTGTCTCAGAGCGGCTTACAATCCTTTCCCTTCTCCTCCCCACAACAGACACCTTGTGAGCAGTGTTCCCTCTAAGCTGAGTTAGTGTGAGCTGGCTCACTGTTTTTTACCCTCCGGCTCCCACGTTTTTGTCTTGGCTCGGGAAGGATGGCTCCGGAGCAAACTAATTTATGCAGTAACCAAATTGCTCTCTCACAGCTTTAATGCCAGTAGCCCACAAAGTAGGATTTTTTGCTCACAAGACTCCACAGCTTAGAGGGAACATTGCCTGTGAGGTAGGTGAGGCTGAGAGAGCTCTGACAGAAACTGCTCTTTTTCAAGAACAGCTGTGCCAGAACTACGGCTTGCCCAAGGTCATCCAGCCAGGTGCAAGTGGAGGAGTGGGGAATCAAACCTGGTTCTCCCAGGTTAGAGTCCGCGCACTTAACCACTACACCAAACTGGCTCAGTGCTCAGTTCGCTTTCTGGTTGCCTTCCCCCCATGTTTTCTGAGAGTACTTTTGTGCTAATTTTTTCCTTGTTTTGCTTCCAAGCCAAAGGTAATTCTGGGGGGAGAGGGCAATCAAGCACATGGTAGGCCTTAATGCATGGCTAATGTGCTGCAGATTGCAGTCTTCTTGGGACACATACACACATGCCAAAAGAATAACCATTTGGTACCTATTGTGGTTGCACTATAAATAACTGAGGAATCTGCAAATTCCCTTTCAAAAACATATTGATACTGGGGATAAGATGGAAAGACATGGGGGAAATCCATGTATATTTGGGATTTTAGTGGCATAAGAGGAGGGCCCCTTAGCTTGGACTGGGGAAGTCGTAACAAGAAGTCCAGGAGGAGTGCCAGAGCAGCTTCATGCACACCCTGGTTCTTGGCCAGGTTACTCCAAAGGAAGTGAAAGGCTTCTCAAGGCAGGTTTCCTCTCAGCCTCTCCCCAATTTGAGAGCATTGTATTAGTTGGCAGTTTCAAACCTTTGGGGAATTCTCTTCCAGAGGCATATTTACTCATTGGGGTAAAAGTGTAGCAAGGAAATGCGACTCTCCTGTAATGTTAAGCAAGTGGGCTTTCCACACCCACACCCCAGGTATTTGAAGTTTTTGTGAGCAAGTGGACCAAGATGCGGGGAACTCCCAATCTCTTCTTAATTGGAATCAAGCCAGCTGAGACTCTTAGAAGATCAGTGACCAGATCTTCTCAGCATTTTTTAAAATGGAAATTGCCTCTGTGGACCCTTCCCCACCCCCCAAAAAACCAATTCAGATTGGGACTGTGGAAGGGGGATGAAGTGGGAGGTAGGGCTTAACCCTCCCATCTTATGAAGTATAGTTAATTGGAACTGATCTCTGTTCCCTGGGCTGTTATTCCCCCCACCCCTTCTTCCTGGGATAATAATGCAGGAGACACTGGAACATCCATGCTTAGATTTTTCCAGAGTTTTTTCAGAGTTATGTTGCCACTATGTGGGGCTCAGATGTATGTTATGGGCATGGCATTGAAGGGGAGAAAAAGCAGTTAACCCTTAACCACCAGCCCACCACCCTGCTTCTTCTTTTAATTGGTATTGTGCAGAAGGATTATGCACCAGTTTGGTGTAGTGGTTAGGAGCAGGGAAAGCCAGTTTGGTGTAGTGGTTAGGAGCACAGACTCTAATCTGGGAAAACCGGGTTTGATTCCCCCACTCCTGCAGATGCAACTGCTGGTGTGATCCTGGGTCAGTCACAAGTTCT